GGGCAGGAGATCGCCGGCACCCGGACAGCGCCGGGCACCACCCCGCCACGCTGCGGGAGCCCAGGTGAGTGCCAGGGCAGCAGGGAGAGGGGGACACAGGGCTCTACAAAGCCCTGAGTAGGGTGGTGACTGTCACCTTGCCGTGCCAGAGCCCACGGAGCGGCCGCCCAGCATGTGCGAGCGCTGGCGACAGAGTTTGCTGGAGCACTACGGGGGCAGCCCCCGCGGGGACCAGTACGTGCCACAGTGCGAGCCCAGCGGGGACTTCACCCCGCTGCAGTGCCACGGCGACAGCGGCTACTGCTGGTGCGTGGAGCAGAGCGGCAGGGAGATCCCGGGGACGCGCTCCGAGCCTGGCACCACCCCTCCCTGTAAGAGCCCAGCACCCCAAAGTAACCCTGCCACACCGACGGCACGGGCGCTGTGCCCTGCTCCAGGTGGGGACAACGCCACCTGAGCCATCTCTGTCCCCGCAACATGCCAGGTCTGCCCAGTGTGGCCCCGCCCAGTGTCCGGCCCGAGCCCCGTCCCGACGTGTCCCCCCCGGCCACGGGGACATTTCTGCTCTACGCCCAGGGCCAGCAGATCGGGTACCTCCCGCTGAACGGCACCCGGCTGCACAAGGAGGCGGCCAAGACGCTGCTGTCCCTGCATGTACGGTATCCTCGGGGTGGGGATGGGCTGCAGGGACACCACAGGGGGGTTGGAGTCTCTGAGCTGGCAGGGTTTGAGGTGGGGGTCGCCTCTTGAGGGTTGGGGTTGGTATGTGGGGATGTTGGCTGTGCTGGCTGCCTTGGTGGCATTTTGGACAAGTGACAGGACAAAGGGGAATGGATTCCCAATGACAGAGGGATATTGGGATGAAATTATTGACTCGGGGAGTGGTGAGACACTGGCACAGCGTGCCCAGAGAAGCTGTGGCTGCCCCATCTCGGGGAGTGTCCAAGGCCAGGCTGGAGCAGCCTGGGATAGTGGCAGATGTCCCTGTCCGTGGCAGGGGTGGAACTGAGTGATCTTTAAAGTCCTTTCCAACCCAAACCATTCTGGCATTCTATGGATTCAATTTTCACCTCCTTCCAGCCATCCCCAGCAGAGAGACAGGTCCCAGACAGGTCCCAGACCTGGGAATGCTCCCAAAGGGAAGGAGTTCAGGTGCTCCCAGAGCTCTCCAGGGTTGGTCACAGCCCAAACCTCCAGCTGCAGGGCTGGCCTTTTTTCCTTCCTTGGACTCCCTTGGAGAGTGGCCATGTGCCAGAGGAACAGGGAAATCTGGGCCAGGACCCTCCCTGCTCCCTGGGGAAGTGAAGGACCTTGCCAAGTATTCCCTCTCCCCATCCTGAGGGTCATTCTCCGGGTTGACTTGGCTCTTGGAGCACCCTCTCCTTCAGGCAAAGGGTTCAAATCCCTCTGGATGTGGGTGTGATCCTGCACCAGCTGGCCTAGAATCCTCTGCTGCAGGATTCAGCTGGGAGGGTGCAGGTGGAACCCATTGGAGCAGAGTTTTGCTGGGGAAATGGGATTTGAGGGTCATTCCCCAGGCAGCTCCCAGGGCTGGCTGATGGGCTGAGGCTGCTGCCTGAGCCTCCTGCAGGATCTCACCCATGTCCCTGTCCCCTGGCAGGGCTCCATCGTGGTGGGGATTGACTATGACTGCCGGGAGAGGATGATTTACTGGACGGACGTGGCCGGCAGGACCATCAGCAGGGCGGGGCTGGAGCCAGGTTCTGAGCCAGAGACCATCATCAGCTCAGGTGTGTTCCTGTCCCCAGTGTCACCTGCCCACAGCCACAGCTGCTGCTCCCATTGCAGCTCCGGGGTCCTCCCATTGATGCCTTATCAGGCTACCTAAAAACAGAGGCCAGACTAAATTAAGGGAATAAAAAAGCTGTTATTATATTATAATATATTATAAAATAATAATAATAAATGTTAATAATATTATAACATGATCATATAATATATTATTATATTATAATACATTATTATATTATAATATATTATTATATTTTTACTTGAAGGGCCTTCAGGTACATTTAGAGCAGACAAAGCCCCCCCCAGGGGCTACACCCAAAATAGACCATGGGTTTTCACACTTTTACAAATTTGGTCCGTTTGTATATTGGGGGTGAATCTTCCAATTACAGCTTCAGGTAATGAGGTCATTTACCCCAAATTTGCTCCTCCTAACTCGCTTTTGTTTACATTTCTCTGGGTCTGAGGCAGTGAGGTGTCCTTAATTCCCAGCAGAATGTCCTTGATTGTCCTTGATTCCCTGGAGAGGAATTGTTGTGTCTGACCAAAATGGGAAAGCAGCAGCTAAATCTGAATATGGACTTTAGAGTTATCCACTAAAGAATTACAATATTACTGTAATTATCTGAAAAATATATGAATATATAAATATACAAAAACATAAAAGTCAAAATCTTGAGGCATGGCCATCCTTCAGAAGAGGCACAAGACCACAGCTACAATCCATTGGTTGTAACCATCAAAGCCTCACAGGAGAGCACACACACACATATATATTTGTATATTTATGTATATATGCATGCATATTGTCTTGGTTTGAAAGACAGGTGTCTGCCAAGAAAGGCAGGAGCTTCTTTTTAAAATGGAG